TATCTGTTTTACTGAAAGCCTGTTATACTAATGGTTAAATAATCTCATGAAATATTATAATATAATAAATACTAATAAAGTTATAGTTGAATTTTATATACATAGTTTAAATCGACTTTTATTGTTGCGGGTTTTGCAATTTCTTTTTATGCTTCTGCCTCGTTTTGTCTCGTTACATCGCTTCCCTCTGTATCATCGCTTGAGTATTAAATTGTGGTCTGTCTCAGTGAACAATGCGCGTAATTTTTTTTATTAACAACAATATATTACACTAAAACAGTAGCTAGGGCTTGTTCTACCTCTCAAGTACGTAGTTGCTGGAATTGTGGTTCATCTATGACATGTATCGAATTTTTCTGCAAGTGCGGCAAAGTTCAGCCACTTAATTCAAAAAGCACATATTTTGAGGCCCTAGGATATTATGAACCTACTCCAGATATTGATTTAGCTGACCTCTCTTCACGAATGAAGAATATTTTACGCTCCCTGCACCCTGACAAGTTTATTGGCATGCCTGAAGTACATTTATTCATTAACATTATTTTAGGCAGATCAAAAGATGGCTCTAGATTCATCTAGTTTTGTAAATCAAGCATATATGGTCCTCTCAGACCCTATTGAACGCTCTTCATACTTACTCAAGCTAAGTGGGTGTGACATGTCCAATCAAGATAAATCCGGAGAGGAAACTCTGGAATTTTTATCCGAGATGATGACTCTTAATGAAAACATTGAGAAAACTATTGAAACTCTAAATAGTTTGGATCTTTCAGATGCTTCGCTCAAGGCTAAATTTGAGGCAAATTTGACCTATCTCTACCGTGATATTTCTTATCGTTTTGCTTCTGAATGTAAATTATTGAATACATGTTTAAGGCATCGTGAATGGGCTAATGCAAAGTTAGCTCTTTCTAGGGCTAAATACTTTGGCAAATTGCGAGATCTTTTACATGAAATACGGCCACTTGTCCGACTAAAGAATTTGAACGTTGATATGTACTAGTCTCATGACTCCAAGTGCATTTA